GGCAGTTGGGGCCTACATTAGCAGCTCTAATCAACGTTTCCAGTTTGCACTTAATGAAGTGGTGTTCTCATGAGTGCATCCTCGATATGGGTTTTATAATCAAAGGCTTAACGAGCTCAAATCTGATGAAAGAAAATAGAGCAAACAGCAGATTAATTAGTATAATTGTTATATGATTATTATAGTAATTAGGCACGACACCCAAAGGTAATATTAATGTCTGTGACTGAATACAACTCGTCTGGCTGCTTGCTGTATCGTACAGTATGTCCCTAATCAGAGGGGTAATTGTTGCTAACAGGCACGCAGCAGAACCAGCGACCAGGGTCAGGCATGTTGGGTCACTGTCAAGACTGAAGAGAATCACAACGCATTAGGTGCTACAGGCCATTAGAAGGAGCTAATTGTGTTATTACATGAAACAGTTGTGTATTGAAATGAATCATGTGTGTGTGTTTCCAGCATGTCTGAGCTGTTTTGTGGACTCTCTCCAGAGTCTTCCTGTGTTTACGTACCTGTGTTTATGCATACTGTATGAGTGTCAGGCAGAGGGCAGGTGGAGCTGACACATTGTGCATAACATTACCGAGGCAGTGTGGGTGGAAAAAAAAAAATGTGACGAATAGAGGTGGTTTTTTTTTCTTTTTCCCAGCATCCCCCCCCCACTGAGTGGTAAACAGATTGTTGGTGCTGGCAGGGTGGTCGGGAGCTGGAAGAGTGAATCTGCCATCGCTAACATCACATGACGCTTCAGATCAAACACAAGAGCAAGGCTAGTTCATATTTACACAAACAGAGTCTGCAGGAATGTAGAAACGATCTATTAATGATGGAGGATGGGCTGGGCTGTGGAGCTTGCTGATACATGAGGCACTTTTTTAAACTTTTTAATTCTCATTTATTTGGTATTTTAGACTTTCCTACCATTTGTCCTTAAAAGGGTTTTGAATGGCGTTCCGCAAGCTGGCAAAATGTATTGAGTGTGGGACGCTTGAGCCTCGTCAAATACTTAAAAAGAACGAGAGAATTGGCAGATCTGCCTGGATTACTGTAATTTTGGGGATGTTTGTCTATTCTTTGCGAGCACCATCTGTTGCATGTCTGTCTGCTGTTTGGGGAGATTTGAGTCTTTGAAATCGAGGGCCTGAGGAAAGACGGCTGTAAAGTCTCTAGAGGCTAATTTGTCATTTGTGATCGTGGGTAATTTAAAACAAATCTGCTATACTTGATTTCACTTCACCGTCATCAGTGTCTGCTCTTTTGCCGTGCAGTCCACAGAGATGACTAAAACCACAGGAGTTCAACACTGGAGATCTAGGTTTACCCTGCCCTACTGCCGGGTTAACATTGAGTAAAGGTTTGGATAATCTTAAATAAAAAGTCCTGAGTTGAGTGTTGAGATTTGGAATCCGAAGGATTGACCAATCACAGTTGAGCTGTCTTTGAACGCATGCTTGTGTGAAAAAAGGTTGAGCCCATTACCCAAATTGCAATTTCATAAATCAAGTCCATCTGACGGTAATTCATCTTTTGTTCCCCATTTTTATTGATTTTTTTTAAAAGTCTTTTAAGATTTATTTTTTGGGGCTTTCTTGTGCCTTGATGGTAGAGAGAGGAAAGTGGACAGAGTCATAAATCAGGGAGAGAGAGGATGAGGAATGACATGCGGGAAAAGAGCCACAGGTCGGACCAGAACAAGGGCCGCCCGCTCGGAGGACCACATCATCCAACCACCATGCCTTCAACACCCCCCCCCCCTTTTTTTTATTTGCATTTATCTCGTTGACTATTTCTTTCCTCTCAATTTACACTCAAATCTCACAATTCAAGACGCTAGTTCAACAAAAAGAAACTCTTTCCCTGAAAATCAGCTGCACAGTTGGTGTTACACATAATGCTAAATTGCTGTAAATATATAGCTGATGGGTTCTGTGATTCTGGACAAGAATGTCAGAATTGATCACTGAACATTTCAGCTCATCCAAACTCTTTTTCAAGATAACGTCAACCTCCTGAGACGACATTCCCCCGGCTTTAAGCAGGTACTTTGAGATGCCAAACAAAACCTTAAAAGCATCTCTTTTTTTCACTCTCGACAGACACACTTCAATCAAGGAAAAGAGCCTTTACAACTGAGAGTGATACAGCTCAAAAAAAGAAAAAGAAAGCTCTATAAAAGCCTGAGATAAAACTCTGAGACAGGTTGATACATCAACTGTTTGTGCGTGTTAGTGTATTTTTATGAAGAGAATTGGCTACTTTAGCTCAATTCTTCTGACTTATAAGGGCTAAATCCACGTTCTATGTAAACTGAGAGGAGGATGAGAGCGACTAGATATCTACTGGAGATAAATATGTTGTTATTTATGAAGTCTTTGTGGGAAGCACAGAGAAATTGTTTAGATTGTTTCACAGGCGAAATGTACAGCTCCATATGTCGTTCATTCACACGATGGTACACAGTTGCCCGGTGCCTGGCAGGCCACCAATCCAATAAGACAAAAGATTGATTAGATCTACTCCCCCCTCCTCCCCCCCCCTCTGTCTTACGCAGCACTTCTAGCCGGTCTGGCCTGTGAACAACTTTGCAAAAGTTGACTGTGATACGTACGTAAACTTCACCAGACATCACTGTAAAAGGTGAGCAAGAATTTCTAGCATTTTAATCGCTAGACTTCAGGAAGAATATTCTGAGTGTGTAGTTATTGGATGAGTACAGACTGCATCACATTAAAATCTGTATTCACTTGTTATATTTAGTGCTGATTGATTAAAACAAATGTCTGACAATTAAAATATGATGAGTAATTGATCAGTTTCCTCACTGGAGATTAATAAAGTGTTTTAATGTATTCTAATCTAATTGAACTTAAAAACAAGGATACAATTTACCATTTAGAGCATTTAGAAAGTTCTGATTAAATGTTTTACTCTTTCATTTCATTGGAAATAGGAATATTTAGTTTTGAACATAACCTTGACCATTTTTATGATCGTGATGATCAAAATGAATCCTCTAAATTTCCATTTCATCAAAAAAAAATGTCTTTGTAACATTTCTTCTAACAACACTATAGCTACTGCAGAAACACTTCATAGTTCTGCTCGAAGATATTTTGTTGGCTAAATCGTTGGACTTTTGAGAGATTTCAAATGTAATTCTTAAGAAGCAGAGCGTAGAGTTTTCTGGCACACCCTGGATGACCCTGATGAAGACCACAAGCTGAAACAGCTGAAACAAGTTAAAGTTAAAGTTGGTCTTCATACTACGAGTGTCGCTGCAGCTTCTTGACCTCTTCGTATTTAATTCTTAAGAAATATTTAACTTTCTTTCTCTGACTTTGTCCATGCATGTCATGTCATTAAAGTAGAATATGTCGGGGTGCTGGTGGAGCAGTGGTTGGTGCGCGCGCCCCATGTATGGAGGCTGTGGTCTTTAAAGGTTCGAGTCTCGCCTGTGGCTCCTTTCCCGCATGTCATTCCCCTCTCCCTCTCTGTCCCTGATTTCCAACTCTATCCACTGTCCTATCTCTCCATTAAAGGCACAAAAAGCTCCAAAAAAAAAAAAAGTAGAACATGAGTGACTTGAAGAGGCGTTTAAAGTAACCAATGTGATGCAATAGCCTGAACAACCATCTTTTAGCAGAACCAGATGACTTCCAACAAATGTGACCTTCTTTTGTACAGATAATTCACAAAGAAGAGGTTCATGTCCATCCAGGTCTTAAAGTGCTTTGTCAGTCAGCTAACATTGTCCACGCTGCAGAAAATGAATCTGACTTTTACTTCCAGGACAATAGATGTTGAAAAATAACTCCTCCTCCGCCTTTGCCTACCTTTATACTTTCATGAATCCATTAATCTAAGCGTTTCTGCCTATCAAAAGCAGTTACATGACCGCGGAGAGTCCATCTACATTTCTGCTGGAGTCAGGATGCGAGTGAATGGATTTCTGCTGCGGCGTGTTCAGAGGAAAAAGACCCGGTGTCAGCAGCAGGGAGATTATTGACACCGACACCATCAGGATTGACAGCATTTCATGTTTTCCCCCATTCTATAAATCCCATCAATTCCTATGCCTGACCTGTACCGTGTGTGTGTACCACGCACAACTCCAAATCCAAACAGTCTTTGTAATCCTTTGAAAACACCCCTGTCAGATTGATCTAACTTGGCGGGGAACAAAAGAGGTGATTGTGTTGGAAGCGAAAGTGCACACTTGGCCCATCTGCACCTCCAGGCAGTGCTCAGGAAAATGTTTAAAGAAACAGAGATTGTTTGACACAAGAATTTAGCCCACTATTTAACCTTGTGCGGATTATTTGGGGATCCAGCGAGAGTTATGGCCCGATCAGATTACTAATCCTGTTATATTAGATTTCTCACGCCTTAGATGAAACAGTGACCCTGTTGAACGCTCAACAAAGATACACCTAGAAACCAAGGAAAAGTGTGCGTCCCTTTGCCAGTTTTTCTGCAAATATCACTTTACTTTGTGTTTAAAAACTCTCTGAAACCAACTCATCTGGATCGATTTAGTCATAATTTATCATTGAGAAGCAATGTTTTTAAATGTGCTGGTTTGAGCTGAAGATGGTGGAAGATTTGCCGCTATTCTCGGTTTGATCATTTCTCTTTGTTTCTTTCATATTTAGGAGTTTAGGGCTCTTGGAGAAAAAAAATCAAGCAGATTAAAAGCTTCATGTTGGACTCTGGGGACTCATGAGAGCTGTTTGCCAGTTAATTGAAAAATAATCCTCATTAATGGGTAAAGATATATTCAATTTTGCTCTTTTTAAATTAATGGGATAATCAAGAAAGCAGAACTTAAGACGAAAGTGCATCAGCCAGTGCCTTCCTTTGACTCCCCAGTCAACCACTGAGTCATCAGACAGGTGAGAGGAGTCATTGTTAACCTGCTAAAATAAAATACACAACTCCCAGGTGTGTGTGAACAAATCAGCGCCTCATGCTGTGTAGATCTTGCTGTTGCACTGTACCATTGAGCCATTTGGAGTTGTACTGCGCCGTCCGGAGAGGTGGCATCCCGCCCATGCTGCGGTAAATGACGGGGTCACGGCCGGAGAAGTCGATGACGGTGGCAGCGTAGAGCTCTCCGCTCTCCGTCACAACCGCTGTGGAGTTGTGACGCGGGTCGTACGGGCAGCGCGCCACGCCGTTCACCCGCTCCATCGTGCGGCTCATGTTTCCCACCTGCAGGGAAGAGAGAGGAAAGGAGTTTAAGGCTTTTTTTTTTTTGCTGAATTACTACAGAATTGCAAACACATGGTTTTCTGTACCTCTCGGGTTATACAAAGGGGCTGGAAAGCGTTGGTGCCACAAGTCATGACCTCAGTCTTGTTCACCAGCAGAACTCTGATGTAGTTCTGACATTCAATCTGCAGAGAAGAGGGTGAACAAAACAAAAAAAAAACCTTTCAGAAAGTTACAGTAGAGCAGAGGAAAGCTGAGGCTAAATATACAAAACGTTCTCTGGTATCAAAACTGGCCTGCAACCAAAAAGCAGAGTAATTAAATGTCTGCTGGTGTTGCTCTTGTTAAGTGCATTGTTTAAAAATAAGAATCCTTTAAGACGCTCAATCGAGACGTATTTGTCACAGACGGTGACTCCATAATAAGTCAAGAATTTCTTTGAGTAAAAAAAAAAAAAAAAAGAGTCAAATCTTTTCTTACCAAAGATGAGAGATAGATTTATTGGTAATGGAACATTTTTACGCTCTTATCTTTTTTTTTGTTGTAAATGCTGACGCTTTGTGTTGTGTAAAAAAGAGCTGAGGTAATTGCAGTGACACAGGTTTGAAAGAGGATTGATTGTCTTATTAGGTTTCAACCTTTTTTCTGTAAGCATTGCGGGAGATAAAAAAAAAAAAAAATGATGCCGCAACAATTTTTCACAAAATAATCAAAGTGTGACAGCTGATAACAGCGTTGGTTATGCTGGAAGTCCTTTTGTGTGTATGACTCTCTTGCCCTACTCTCTTTTTTTGTACATGTTTTCCTCTTTGCCCCTTTGCCCTCTTCTCTTCACTGCTAGGAAAAACAACCAGATTGAAGGGTCTGAAATAGCTGTCCTGTGCAGAACCCTTCCATGAGGCCCATAAGGACCTTCCAGAGCCTGAACATATCAAGATGGCCTCTCTGTGAGCCAGGCAGCACCCACATGAAGTGTTGTAATTGGGGGCGGGCTCGGGGTTACCTCTGTTTTGCCTTTGCTCTGACAGGACCTCCTGGTTTCCTCGTCCGGTGCCCATTCTGTCGCCTAGGAAACAAAAACAAGAAGAAGAAGGAGAAGAAAAAAAAAAACAGGGATGACAAAGAGGCCGAAAAAGCAGTCAGCTGAGTCCTTCAGACGCTACAAAACAGTTACGCAACGACTGACTGTTGCTAATACTGTAGGCATGCACAAAAAGATGCATGAAAAAGACTTTAACCTCATTGCTGTTTGTTTATTGTGTAAACATGGCGACCGGCTCGCCAGCCAAGAGCTCATTGGTGGGTGACGGGCGAGGTACCCGACAAGGCAGCTGAAGGGCTGAGGACGGCATTAGCATGTAAATGGCTTTCTCTCAAACTTCTACTTCTTTCTCTCTCTCTCTATCTCAAAAGTTTGCAGCACTCGCCCCCTCGCCCCCCACCCCCTCCTTTCACTCCCACTAGCCAATTATATTCCTGTTGATGGTTGTGTCTGGGGCTTAATTATGGATGCAGGCAGCAGCACTGCACGACTGCACTGCAAACACACTCATGCATGCGCATTCACACGCGCTGTTTGGCCACCAGAGCAGCACTGGCTCCTGTTGAGAGCTTTGAGAGATGCCCCTCTCCTGGCATGAGCTGTTCATGTGCAGGGTGCCAGAGGACCCCCTGTTGTGTGTCACTGGCCTCATTTTACTCATCCTCCTCCATCGCCTCCCCTGTTCTCTGATCTCACTGCCCGAGTAGGAGGGTTGCCTAAACATCTAAAAGTGACAAAAAAAAAAAAAAAGTCTGCCTTTATGCAACATCAATCCACCTGATTCTCAATCTTTTTGTTGTATGTTCTTCGTTCCTCTCCTAAAAGGGTTTGTTGTTGAAGCACCAGGACTATCGGCCAGTGGGACAAAGTTGTGACTGAACCTTCAGAGGAACCCAAAAATTGAGGCCAAAACTAAACTGGGTCAGTAGTCCATGAAGACAAATGGAGGGCTTAGAATAACAGTAATGTTAAGGCCCGAATGCCAAAGCTGCTTCAAAATGTAGCTCATCTTAAACACCTTTATTTAGCATTGGACGGTTTCATTTTTCAGCTGTGAATTTGTCCTGTAGCTTTATCCCTTGGTGCTTTTTCTGGATCCTCATTTTTGCTTTAATTAAAGCTCAGCAGAAGTGACTAAACGCTGTATAGCCCCAAGACGCAGCGCTGGGAAAATACGGTATTCAGTTAATCACAATTTTTTTTTTTTTTTGTTCCTCGGTGGAGAGAATATAGCTCTTTAGGAAATGTTGAAAATAAAATAGAATAAGCACATTTAATGAGAACTTAAAAAGACTGCCAAATACCTTTCAGGGGGACAAAATGTTGAGTTTAAATTTACGGAGTGCTCGGCTCAGTGATTGTGCTAGAAGGAGTGGAAGTTTATGATTTTGGATGATTGGCCTCTGCATAAATTCTAGCTAATGACTGAAAGCACCAGACTGAGCCGTTCTAGTGACATCCTAATGAGCCTGCAAACATCTGCACATTGTCCTGGGATTCCTTTTATTGCCTCTACGCTAAGCTGAAATTCATAGACATTCATGAGTGTGTGATTGTTTTTTGATTGTTAACGCTGGCAGAATGGTTTGTGGTGCCAAAACACATCGGAGGGAAGCCGCATTCTTTGATTCCATGTTTGATTGTTTGAGACCAGTTAAAGCTCCACTAATCACTCTCCAAACACTCCCTGCCAAGCTCACAGTGACAGACGGACTAACTTAGTAACTACTTGATGGAGAAAGTGGAATAAAAAGCTGTTAATCATTTTTTTTTTTTCTTCACAGATTCAGGTGACCAAACCAGAGCTAAGAGAAAGGAGATTTACATCCATCATGGGGACAGACTAAGGTTTCCAAGTCCACTGTAAATGTAAGTTTAAAGCTCCCATGAGCTCCCATTTGTCTGGTTATAAAACACGCTGAAATTACTACAGACGCCTTTGTACGACCTAAAAAGGCAAACGAGACTATCAGTATAAAGGTCGACCATTTCTATATCGTCATTTTTAATATTCCAAACTATTGCCGCAGGGTAGGTGTCAGACAAAGTGTTGAACAGCACACTGAAGAGACAGCCATTTTTACATTTTCCACTGCGAGAAATTTTGATGAATGATACATTCAGTTGAAAAAAACTACTACTTATACATGACCAGGAAAAAAAGGTCATGTAAAGGGGTCCTGCTTTTTTTACAGGGGTCGCCAGTATCAACAAAAAGCAATCGTTCCTCATCGGAACTTCAAATCACTTTATAAGCAGATCTTGTTTGCTAAAGCAGATTTAGCAAACATTCAAGATCTTTATGCTATGCTTATTAAAAAGGGACAGGGCGTCAGACTTTGATATTTTGTAAGTATTTTTAAACTGGTGCACCGGTAGCCTAGTGGTTAGTACAAACGCCCCATGAACAGAGGCTGTAGTCCTCTAAGTGGGCGGCACAGGTTCCAATCTGACCTGTGGCCCCCCTCTCGCTTGTTGTTCCCCTCTCTCTCTCTCTCTCTCCCTGAATTCTGACTCCATCCACTGTCCTGTCTCTGAGTAAAAGCATAAAAAGCACCAAAGCATTTAAAAACTGTTTTAGTAGAAGAGTTAGACTTTTAATAAGTATTTATTAGAGCAACTTTAAGCGAGCTAATCTCGTCCAAGCATAGAAAATGTAATTGTAGCATACAGATGGTTTGCCTGGTAAGTGTGGTTAGAGCCGAAAATGGAGGCAAATTCATCAGTGATATAAAGCTATGTTTAGCACCTGCTGCCTGTAGAGCGTCTGTAAATGGACTCTGGTTCATATTGATAGTTACAGCTCATCTCCCCATCTCCCACAGCAGCTCCCTTCAATTAACCTGCCTCGGTCTGCACCGGGGAGAGAGAGAGAGAGAGAGACGGCAGCAGGGGACGGCTATATAAAGAAAACTGTGATTAAAATGAAACTTCAGCTCCCCAACAGGACACAGATAAATTTGAAATAGCAGAAGTAGCTAATGTGTTCCGCGAGGAGCCAAGCTGTTGGCGCAGAATTGACACAGCCAACAGAAATCCACTTCCCATGACCACAGCGAGCAGCGTGGCACCTGCCAATCAAAGAGCAGCCCCGCCCCCTCCCAGGCAGTCCATCACTCCTGCCTGCTGAAATGAAAACACTGCTCCTCCACAGCCCCCGCCTGTCAGCCCCTGACAGGCTGGGGTACTGATGGGATGACGTCATTGTAAACACACACACGCACACACACTGGGTGATGGATGCCTTTGCGATGAATCATGGCTACGGGTATTACCATCTTTTCGGCAGGGCCCCATCTCCAAGGATCCCCCATCGGCTTAACCCGCTGACCTTCACCAGAAAAGTGCCCAATCTCCGCCCCCCTCTCTCTCTCTCCCCCTCACCCCCCCTCTCTCTGTCCAACTCTTCTTCTTCACACCCTCTGGAACAAAGCCACACACACACACACACACACACACACACACAGAGAGCCTGCGAGAATACCAATCCTGCCTTCACATCCTCTCCCTCAAATACTTTGCTTGTACTGAACCTGAGTGGTTCTTCTGCCATCAACAGGGGGAATGAGTCGGAAGGATACAGTGTTTCAGTTTTACTCAAATATTTCTGTTCACAACAATTCAGCAAAAAGAAAAAAATCAGAATAAAATTTATTGCCAGGTTTGTGTACCCATACAATGAATTTGTCTTTGTGTCTTTGGTGTGAAAGTAGAAAGTTAGACAATAGTATTACTATCAGGAGACTTGTAGAAGCAATCTGTATGATTTCTACTGAATTAAATCCTAAAATGACTTCACTATATCATCAGACATTAAGCAAACATACTATAATGAAGAGCTGGCTTCTCTGACAACAATGCAGCAGCCACTTTTTCCTCCTTCTAAGTTTAAATTCCAGTGCCAAATTGTTTTTGTTTTCACCATAGAAAGGAGACGATTTTAAGGCACCCCCACGGGGACGAGATGCCCCTCGATGTGCCGGGAAAACGGCAAACCACTAGGTGTTGCAGCGATGGAAGCCGGTAGGGGAGTTGGTTCAGATAAAACTGATTCTGACCTACGAAGCCTCCGCAAGCGCCTTCATCAGAAACGAGGATATATAGTGGAGATGCCTTTTTTGAAAACTAGAGAGA